TTTCTATTTCAAAGTTAGTATTGTCAGGCTGCTTTTGGAATAAAAAAATGTTTTGGTCATAACTGATTCTCAAAATATTGCATTAAAATTGGTTTGATTGCCAACTAAATCTACTTTTATGGTAAGCTGAATTAAATTTTAACTATTATCACTCTACAATATTTATAAGTATTTCATCCAATGGGTATAAGTGACCACACAACTGCAGTTGCATCATCTTCGATTTTCATTTAGCAATGGATTCAAATTCCAGTCGAATCCATTACATTCACTTATGTGCTAATACCCTTGGGAAAGGTATGAATCTGTTTCTTCTCCCCCCCCCGCTATGGGTAAATAGCAGGACAGACCATGTTCTATATCCTTGGATGGCAACTGGTCTACTGCAGAAAGAAATGGCAACCTACTGCAGGAAAAAAATCAGCCTTGTCAGTCATGTATCGAAATGCAGAGTGCTGAAAGTTAATTGAATTAAATCATAATTTATCAAAATTAACTTGTAAATTTGCTCCTCTTTTCCTCAGATAAGAGAAGGGAAAAAATTTAATTTTTTTTTCTTTACTAAAGTTCAGACAATACAAGGCTCTAGAATCACTCAGTGTAGACTTACTGAATGAGGCGTGTGATCTAAATGTAAGATGGTAGGAAGTAATGATAGATAATGTTTGACCTTTGACTTAAAGAGGTTAAGATTGTAGTGTTCAAGGAAGCATCCATGCAGAAGTCTGTTCCACAAAGTAGCTGTTCCTTGTTTAAATTTGAATGGCACTTCTTCCTTACAATTGGAATATGAAGGAAATGAGGATAATTCGACTTCATGGATGTAGCACAGTGTGTCCTAACTGTAAATGTCTGAACTGGTGGAACTAAAGAATAGAGCCCACCAGAACATTTTCCATGGAAATAATGATAGTGGCAATAAGCTCATGACTTTACATTTGTGGGGAAAGAGGCTACAGAGTGGAAAATAAATCCTTCACCACAAGATTTTAAATTCTGCCAAGGCTTGAAAGTGAGGCTTAAACAGCTCCAGCCCAGATACCCCAAATATTTCATCTTTGGTCTAATTTGATTCTTGTTCATAGCAGAAGGAGTTAGGTACTTTCTGGAGTGGTCAAATGAGCTGACTATTTTTCTAGTATCTTCAGCTATGAATCGTATATTCTGAAATCTAATTTTCATTAGTAAATGTGTATGATGGGTTTTGTTTATGTTGTAAACTATGGCAAGGATGTATTGAGATTGGTGGAAACACCCAACAAATAGTTCACTCAACTGTGAAGGGGTAATAGGCAGAGAAAGGAAAGAGACTGGAGGTAAAAAAATAACACTGCCTCGGAAAACACCACAACTGTAGCAACAAAACATCCATGGGACTGACTTCGCAAGACACTGCGATGCCGACTGTTGACTGCTGGTTTTTCTGTTGTTTTTATGAACAAGAGACAGAAACCCAAATTGAGACAAGTTGCAGAGAGGCCTGTATCTGAACATGCCAAGCTATTCCGCTGCTAACTGTGGAAAACCTGGATGTGTCTAGTTTTGACAGACATGCTCACATATGATCCGGGGCCTCTTTTGTGTGTGTACTAGTTTATTTTCAGACTACTTTTCATCTTCAGAAATATCTGAGGTTTCTATTTCTAAATACTATTTTCAAAATTAATGTTACAAGTAATACTACTTGTATTATTATCTCATAGTTGTGTATGTATGAGGGTAAGTCAAAAAATTATCTGCACTTTTGCCATAACATATCTTTAGGTTTTTTATACTGCCTTCTGCTCATGTGTATTCATAGTTGGTACTATTGTGGTCACCTGATTAAAGTTGGAGCTTAGTTGTATCAGTCTTCTTGGTCCTATTATAGTGTAAACATGGCCGCCTTGCTAGCAGTGTACCAAGGGGTTACAAAAAGCAGTGATCAGATTTCTCTGGTCAGAAGGTGTGTCCAGGGCAGAAATTCATCAGAGGTTTTTAACATAGTACAGTGTCTGTGTATGGGTGATTTGGGAAGTTTAAAAGTGGCTGGACAAGCATGATAGATGAAGGAGCAGGATATCTATTGACTTCCATACCTGGATGAGAAGATTCGGCAAGATCTAGAGATAATGGTGGACTGGCAAGTTATCGTCTACTATTCGGATCACTGCTCTTTATTTCTCCTTGCTGCACACTACTAGCAGAGTAGCCATGTTTACAATATAACAGCAGCAAGAAAACTGGCATAATCAAACTCAAACTTTGATCATGTGATCACAATTTAACCAATTATAAGCATGTGTTACTAAAAGGCAGTATGACAAACCTAAATGTAGTGATTTTCCAAGCGTAGCTTCGATGTGGCACAAGGCCGAAAGTATGGGGGACCCAGTAAGGATTGAACTAACTATTCAGTTATAACTGTCTTAGCGCGACAAGCTTGTTAACCATTACACCACGCCGACCTAAATGTATGGCAAAAGTGCAGATAATTTTTGATTTACCCTGCTGAAAAGTGATATAGTATCTGATTATTAAACAAATGTATTAAAAATTTCATTTTTCCCAATGACTATGTATAGTAGCTTCTATGTGCTATGTTCCTTCAGGATGTTGCTATTAATGACTCTCCACATTTTCCTCTTTTTTGTAGCTTTTAATCAATTTTGCCTTTTATCTTTCCTAAACCTTTTCTGCTATCCATTTACTCAAGCTCACTCGGTAGGTTATGCATTATTTTCCTCTGACCTCTTCCCTTCAATCTATCCTGTGGGTATCAATTTCTTCCTCATATGCCCTAGAAATTTCAATTGCCTCTTCCTGATATTTAGTGTAAGTGACCTTTTTGTTTACGTTTTTTTCTAAAACTTTGTTTGCTCACAGGTTTAGTCCATGGTATTCCCATCATTTTTCTGTAGAACTACATTTCTGCTTCCTCGAGTCTCTTCATGTGTAAGGAGATTGTTCAACATTCACTGCCATAAAGGTAAATTGATATTACGTAGCAGTTTAGTACTATTTTCTTTATTTCTATCAAAATTTTCCTATTTCTTAATACTTTGCTTAGCTTTTGGATGGTATTTTTCACTATCTCAATGCACCTTTGGATTTCAGTGTTCCACTTTCCATCCTATTTTAAACCTTTTTCAGATATTTAAATTGATGGTAACTTTTACCTAATTCAATAGTAAAAGGGCGGGACCTAGATGCCAATCTAGTAGCATGCTTAGCCTCACATAGTCCAAACTGCAAGGGAAAAAAAACTTGTTAGAAATATTTGTAGAAAAGACAGAGGTACATCACATCAGTGAGAAAGTGACCGATGTCAAGATGCCCAGTCGGGATCAATTAAATTGCAGATACTATTTTGGATTTTATCAAGTCAGTTGAAAACATGAGGCAATGAAGGCACAGTATGTTGCTCTCCATGAGTCTAACATCAGCCATACTGATGGTGGCTAGGAAAGTTTCTCTATGGTGGTTAAAAGAGAGCAGTTTAGTTTTGGAGGCATTAAAATTTACATGCTATTTCCTGCCCCATTTAACCACTGATTAGAAGTTATTTCAGGTGCACTGACCAGGTTAACTTTGTCAACTCTGGCAGATTTGCTATTGAGACAGGAGTAAATGGTAGTGTCATCAGCATAAATGCCTACTTAACATCAGGAAGATCATTGATGAAGATCAGAAACAGTGTAGGACCCAGGATAGAGCCTTGAGTAACACCTGTGTTCATGTGAAAGGATCTGGATGTCTTTATTTCTAACTAAATTTTCCTATTTATTAATACTTTGCTTAGCTTTTGGAAGGCATTTTTCACTATCTCAATGCGCCTTTGGATTTCAGTGTTGCACTTTCCTTCCTCTTTTAAACCTTTTTCAGATATTTAAATTGTATTTGATTTTGGTACCTCCAATTTCTAATTTGCATGTTGGGCAGTTCCTTTTGCTTACAACCCTACATTCTTTACTCTTGCAAGTGATGTTTAATCCTTTCTTCAAAATTTCCTTCACTGCCTTCTGTAGGAGTTCTTGTAGTTTCCTTTTTATTTCTGCTATCAATACTGTCATCTGTCAATCTTACGTTAAGATTGTTTCTGCCAATAATGAATCCTCGTACGACTTCTAATTCTCTCAGAATCACCTCACTGTATAAGTTGTATAATTTTAGTGAGAAGTCATATCCTTGTCTTACACCCCTTTCTACTTTTGTATATTTTCTGAACTCATTTTTTATCCATATGCAGGTGGTTTGCTGCCAGTATAGATTCTGACTTATTCTAATATCTTTACCAAATATTTCAAGGTTACACATGAGGATTTAATGCAGTGTTTGAACAACATAATCGACTTTAACTGAGAATTATTGAAAATAAAGGCAAAATGCCTTGTATTTTTTTTTTTTTTTTGTGATGTCAACGAATACTCATTGTCACTTTTGTAATGCTTAGTAGAGACTTTGTAATTGCAGATACGACTATAGTAATGCAGTTGAACAATACTGGTGTCTGACACCTTCGAATAACACTTGCACTAATAGTACTTCCTTGATAATACTCACTCGAAAAGTAACCACTGAATAGTAATCTGTATAATGATCAGTATAGAGGAATGGTATAGGAATAGCAATTCATATAGTGATAGAGGATAGTGTAGAAATAGTGATCTGTATAGTAATAGTGGATAGAATAGAAATACTAATTCCCATGTGTGTTTGTCCTTTATGGTCACATGAAGTACAAATTTAAAGTTAAACATCCCAGCATTTTCAGTGTTTCTCTCTGTGTTATTATATACAATATTTGTTTGTATTTTGTTCACTCCCATTATGTATATATGATTCTTCAATTAAAAAAAAAAAAAAAAATCTAATCTGATGAAGCCCTTTTGAAAGATGAAATGTATAACACAGGATTCTTTCTCCCATTTTGTCATCCAATTAGCCACATGATATATAGTTTATGTATTCATTTATATATTTAACTATAGCCAAGGAAAGAAGACTTATGGACACATCACATTGAACCACTAGTTCCCATATGATCACCAAAGTTAAGCAATGTCAAGCCTGATCAGTGCTTAGATGAGTGAGTACTTGGAAATACCAGTTGCTGTAAGCTTGGATGTATGGGTGGTGTTATCGATAATGGCTTGGGATTGTTAGTCAGAAAATGAGTACCAATTCCCATTGAGTTTATATTTGCTTACATGCAATTACCCTTCGAAAAGATATGAATCCAGTTCTCCCCTCCAGCTATGGGTTAATTAATAAGTATCACTAAATCATTTTCAAAAAAAAATTGTGTATGAAATATTTAGATTTTGACATTAAATAATTCATAGAGGTTGATATTTTGTTAAACAACCTAATCAAACTAGGAAAAGAAACGTAAAAGATGATGTTCGGAAGACATGTGGGTGGTGATAATTAACTCCTTTCAATGTGTTCACAAAGCAAATTATAAAAAAAATCTATAATCAAAGCCTTATTTGAGTATAACATTATTTTAATAACTAAAATTCTTAAAAAAAAAAAAAAAAAAAAAGGAATGTGTATGATATTGTGAAATCGATTATCAGACACTTCTATAAAATATAGTATATAGAAACCTTTACAATGTTGGAAATGGCTCAATGAAAAGTGTGCAAAAATAGAATATCACAGATAAAGCAGATATGCATAAAAAAAAATCAGAATTAACAGGATAAACGACATGGTTGTCAATCCAAGGACATAATACTGATATTAGAGAATAGAACTTTTAGAAATTGAATGAATATATCAGAATTCTTTCATGAAAAAAGCTGACAATTGGTAGTACAGAGAAATGTTGAAAGACCAACAATATTAAAATCTGAAAGTGAAAGTATTCTCAGCATCCTTCTGTAGAACCATATCTCTGTTGGCTCAAGTTTCCTCTTCATCTATGAGGAAATTGCCCAGCATTTACTGCTATGTAGGATAATTGATATTACATAACTATTCAGCACTTTTTTCTTTTGTTTCTAAATAAACTTTTCTGTTTCTTAATACATTGTTTAGCTTTTGGATGGCATCTATTGCTATTCCAATGTGTCTTCAGATTTTTGACACTTCAGTTTATATACAACTGAGATTACCTACTACTTGAAAATAGAATATAAACATAATATGTTTGTCATAGTTATTGACTTTTCTGTATAGAAGGTGCTGCTGTAGTTTTAATTGGAAGAATTTTTTTAGCCAGTATTAACAAGCACATTTACACTATCACCTGTCACTCTTTTGTCATGCATCAGATATTTTGGAATAACATTTTTAATTTAAAAAATTAAAATTTAATCAGCTTTGGTTTTGGTTATGTCAGCTGTTATTACTGAAAACGTTTTTCGATGTTAAAAGCATTTTATTCAAATCTGTTTACAATTAGTTTAAACTTATAATTTTTAGAAAGCCTGGAATTGTACTAACGTTAAGTATAACATTCTGTGGTGACTTTTTTTTTTTCCTTTTCCTCTTCTTAGACCACAAAACCTTTCATCCTAATTATGCCTAAAAAAAAAATAAAATCCAAAATTGGCATGAGTTTGAATCTTTGAATCCATGTTTGGTATTAGAGGTTCATAGTGTTGATGGCATAAATAAAAAAAAAAAAAAAATTTAATAAAGATAGTATTTTTAAGATCCTCTGATGACTTAAATTTTAATGTTTATTTAGTCATTGATTTCATCTGAAGATGTCTTTAGAATTAAGCAGAGGATATAGTTCCAACACAAATATCCCCAAATCATGAGGTTAGACAAGAAATTCTTTAGGTTGTGTTTGAGTTGTAAGTCTTCATGCTTACAGATATAGTGTGCGATTGATAAATTGTCGCAGTTTTATATTTTTAATTTTGCACATGTGCATTATTTGTTTTTTTTATTTTGTTGATTGCACAATATAGTAGGGTCAGTTGGGCACCATCTGTGATCAAAAGAGCACCATGAAGAAAGTCACTCTGCCAGAAATTTGGAAATGGCATGCTGTACAGCAGGGGTCGGCAACTCCTTTGACCCCGCGGGCCAGATTGTGTTATAATGACGGTTCACGGGCCAGACGAAGGCCATTAATGAAAAATTAAGGAAAATTACATATGCAGACCCCTGTCAACCTAAATATTTAAAACCATAATGAAAATAAACATTGAGAAATCAGAAAAACAAAAGAAAATCTAAAATTACTTTTCCTCAAGGAACGTCAAAATACTTCAAAGTGAAAAAAATCAACCGAAGTGAAATGGATGAAATTATGACGTGTAGGTTTGAAACTGCTATTGAAAATTGTTCCACAAACAAACCACACACACACACACATCAAACAAAAACGAAGCCCATATACCCATACTTACGAGTACAAATAGTTGCAAACATATACATTTACGTACGTACACATGTGGTATCATCCACACATTCATGAGGCATATGTTTAACTGTCTTTAGATTTCTGCTACCTCGCATGTCAGTCCCTCCCTGGCCTCTTTCACTTTATTGTTCTTTTCACTTCTGTTATCTTTTAATGTAGCCAAGGGTCATAACAAATATGTATCCATTATTTGACTTTAAACGTAGTCAACGCAACTTGGTAAAATAAGTCTCATGAAAGATAACTGGCAGATAGTCTAACTCGAAAGCCTCGTCTCTCATGTTAAAACTAGTCATTGGTAATCAGGCTCACGGGCCGGTCAAAATGCCTTTGCAGGCCGTAGGTTGCCAACCCTTGCTGTACAGCTTGGAATTCACACCAAAAGCTCCAGTACAAGCATTTCAGTGTCTTTGGGTATCAATCTGAGAACAGTGCAGAGGATTCAGAAAGATTTGGATACCAACATCATGTCGACATCATGGTGTTCGGAGTGATCATTAGTGATGGCGACATTATGCCTCCATATGCTTATGCCTTTGCTTCCCATAGTGCCTCAGACTCAACACGGAGGCCTACATCAAGTGAGGTAGTGCTGCCTTGGGTCAAGAAGGTGGCTGCTGGAAGACCCTATGTCTGGCAACAGGAAACTGCACCATGCCACACAAACAAAATTCTGAAATTGTCTGTAGGCCATGGTTGAAGCCAATGGTGAATATTTTTTTTTTTTATTGAATAAATTTACTTTTTCATATTTCAAGATATTTTTGTGTGATTTTGGTAAATATATCTGTTAAAATAAGTTGTCAGCATTATTTTCATTTTTGTATAATTTAGATGACAATTTATCCATCGCACCCTGTATATGGCATTCTGGTGTCAAAGAATATATATTCAAATTAGAATAAAACCACAATTCTGTGCTTTGATGTAAATGCATCTGGTATCTATCACTTTGCTGATAGCAAGATAAAATTTCAAATTTAAATTGCTTGTCTATGTAAAATACTCCACATTAGAAAATATATTCAATATTTCAATCAGAAGGATTCATAAAAATGACTTTTTAGGTCCAGTTTATACTGTTTTTTTTTTTTCCTGTCAAACAGGAATTTGTCGTTATGGCAGATTTCCATCTCGATTTCATTCAAATTGTGTGTGTGTGTGTGTTCATTTGTATATGTATATTTTAATTTAATGGCAAATATATCGACAAAATTTTTAAAAAGCATTAAAAATAATTCTATTACTGAATAATCTAATTATCTGATTTTGTTTTTTCTTGTGACCAATTTTAATTTTATTCCTCAGCCCAGGGTAGAGGTTGACTAGACTGTGTGGGCAACAAATGTATTATTCCAATGTCAAATTGTGTGCGCATGCGTGCATTAAATGGTGCAAGCACATTTAAGTGATTCCCACACAGCACATATTCATATGCATTACATACATGCATATAAAGTCACATGCTGACTGCATGTGACACAGAATCAGCTCTTATTTTATAACATAACTTTGTATATAACTTGATGGATTAGTAAAATTCCTCTTTTAATTTATCCTTGTATTTTTTAAAATGCCAATTTAACATGACCTACTGTTTTCATATTTTATGACCTGTAACAATCATGTTATAGTGTGATACCATATAATCCTTCTCTACAAAATTGTCTCTTTTGAAGAGACATGACTTCTGAAAATTACACTGTATGTTGCATATGCATTTCATAGATCACACAAAGATCCTTTTGAAGTGTTAGAAAAGCTTGATCCACATGGAAAGAATATATGATATACAATCTCTACTGTATATAAGGAGACTGATATAGAAAGGGAAGCACAATAAATGCTTTGTTTTTATTTATCATAAACAATGTATACCGTGCAGAGAACATTGTTGATGTCACTTTCAGAAAAATTTGCCAAAGCTATTAGACAGTCATTAAGGAAAGTGAGAAGAAAGGACAGACTAATTTAATTTTTTTTTTAATCATTTCACTCCAAGCAAGGTGGGAATACCACTAGTATGCAGTGGGTTACAGAGAATGAAGGTGAGAAAAGATTCGGTGTAGGGGGACCAAGGAAAGGATAAAAGCTGAACAGGGTTCAAAGTTAGATGACATTTGACATTGCATTTAAATTTTTGAATATTGTAGTTATCAGAGAAACAAGGAAACAGAAGGGAGTTCCACAGATGGGAAGTGCAAGAAAAGAAACTGTTGGAGTAGAAGTGATGGTAACATTTACCTAATTCAACAGTAAAAGGGTGGGACCTAGATGCCAATCTAGTAGCATGCTTAAACTCACATAATCCAGGCTGCAGGGAAAAAAAATTGTCAGAAATATTTGTAGAAAAGACAGAGGTACATCACATCAGTGAGAAAGTGACTGATGTCAAGATGCCAAGTCGGGATTGATTAAATTGCAGATACTACTTTGGATTTTTTCAAGAACCTTGAGATGAATAACAGGAGCACCTAACCAGATATAGCAGCAGTATTCAATGCATGGAGAAATTGTAGATTTGTAAATGTGCAAGATGGAGGCTGGCATGAAAAGCTTCTGGCACAACATGGTGATCCAACTTTCCTTGCATTATGCAGCTATTGATTTGATGTCATTGTTACATTTCAAGTCAGTTGAAAACATGAGGCAATGAAGGCACAGTATGTTGCTCTCCATGAGTCTAACATCAGCCATACTGATGGTGGCTAGGAAAGTTTCTCTATGGTGGTT